AACAAAAATCTCATCATAATCTAATTTTTTTTTTTTTTTTTTTTTTTTTTTTTTCCAAATCTTCATGCTATTAATCTTGATTTTAAGCATAATTTTATAAAATTTATGAATCACTTATTTTTGTAGATCTTCTTAGTTGATAGTGTTTTGTTTTTTTTTTTTGGAGATAAAATGATAAGAATCCATGTAAGATTTTTGTTTAGAGTACCTATCTCTTCTAATATTAAAGCTTTTTAGTTAGCATTTGGAAAGGCTTTGTTAAAAATTAAGTTTTCTTATGAGATCTTTTTTTTAGAGATATCATTTTTTTTATATTATAGAAATGATAATCTTTGAAGTAAATAAATTTTCATTAAATTTTGGATGATCTTTAAATTGGATCCAATGGAGTTGACTAATCTATTAGAACAACATTGGAAAGACAATCTAAACTATCTACTTTTTATTCTTTATTGGTAACTTTTGCTTAAGTAATACTTTTGTAGCTGATAGATTTGGCACATGAGTAAGTTTTCCTCTTGTTTTGATAAAATGGATATGCTTAAAGAAAATACAATGAAATGCTAAAAAATATCAAGTACCAAAGTAGTGGAAGAATAAAAAAAGCCAACAAAATCTTTAAAAAAAGATTCATCACAATTGATAAAAATCTAATGGCAAATTAGATTATAACACCAATAGTTTTTAATTTAATCATTGTAATTAAGCAAAAAAATACAAAAATATTCAAAGACCAACTTCATTAAAAGAAAAGGATATAGAAGAACATATGTTATACATCCAAGCATCTTGAAATGAGATAGAATAGGTTTTATTTTGAAGAGTTGCTTGAAAAATGTGGTTAATTTAAGAAAGTCACTGGAACAATAACTAAGCATATAGATTATTACACGGATATATTCTATTCATAAGTAAAGAAGAAAATAAGCATTTAAAAAAATGTTATAGACAATTACAAGTAAGATCCAATTCTTTTGCTCATAAACTTCATTTTGGTGGAAAGATCAAGTAGAGATGAGTTGGTGACATATGCCTTTTCCAAAGTAAAATATATTCAATACAATAGAAATAAACTTTTTATCTTAATTGATTTACAAAAAAATAACTTTTAGACTTAATTGACATTCTATAAATTAGATGAATTTTTATATAGTAGAAAAATTCATATCTATAGTGATTAGGAAAAAAATCCAATATAATAAAAAAAATCATTAGTGATTGTCAAAAGATACTTAGTTCTAATACTTGATGTAATCAACTCACAAAGATTTGAGTGCAAGAGTTCTAAGGATTAAAAAGCTTTTAAAGTAGTTATCTTTGGAATGTTCTCTCAATGGTATTTGGATTAAATACTAATTTCACAATGACGATTAACAAAGACAACTTATGGAAGGCTAATAACAAATTGTTTGGTATGTATATGATGTATTTATTGATGATGTATGTGACAAAGGTGTTTGTACTAGAAATCTAGAATATTTTTGGTGTAACTTTGTAGTACCAATAGACTAAAAATTGAATGATTGACTTGAATAGTTTTAATTACTAGGATTAGTGGAATATTTACATTCATAATAATAGGTTTTGAAGAAGTGAACTTGTATAGACTATTACATGGATCTTAATAAAATTGAAGATGAATATTGCTTTGATTTTTCTTGTCATAGATATAGCAAGATTAATTGTTGAACAATACTTGATATCCTTTGTTTTTAAGTCTCTTTACCAAAAGAAGTTTCTTTATTATTCCTAACACATATGAAATGTTATGTACAACTTAATTTTTACCAAAGCAAGTAATGTTTTTTCCAAGGACAGGCATAGTGACACCATTGGCTGTAGAAACATTAGATTTGCAAAGTAATGTGCAAGAAATAAAGTCTAAAATACAAGTACAATTTCCAATTATATGAGTACTAGCTGTCGAGTCAATAAACTAATCATTTTTAAAACTCTCAATCATGTGTTCTGTGAAGTTGATTTCTCCTATGTTTTTTACATCATCTTCTTCATGTCCTTCTTTGTTGGTTTTAGTCAGATACAACTTCGCATGAGTAGTGCTTTGCATTGGAGCAACACAGACCTATAAGTCAAAAATGCCTTCTTCAAGTGATTTTGTTGTCCACATCATTCATACTTAGGATGGTTGGGACAATTAGCAGGATTGCGTTGAAGATCTGATTGGAAATACCAAGTAACTTCATATCCACAATTAGTTGGATTTGTAGAACCATAAGTTCAACACTATCTTCACTCGCAGTAACCACGAGAAGAAGTTTGATTCTCCATCTAACTTGTCTTCTTGACTGAAATGTTCTGCAGTGTCTAACTATTTTGGAAATGATGCATCTAACTTGTCTTCTTGCCTAAAATTGTTTTACAAATAAAGAACTGATTGCCTTGATACTATGAGCGAATATGTAAACATAAAATAACTTCAGATGGCACACATGCAGTCTTAGCGGATCAGCTTCGAAGCCTTCGTAAGCTCCCACGTCTCCGTGCAATTGCACAGTACCGCACACAGTGATCGTGAAGGTGAAGTCCTGTCTGACTTGTCAACCACCTTCCCTGAATCTTCACGATGTGGAATGAACGGCAGTCGATCAAAAGCCGATCCAATGGAAAACGAGCGAAGATGCCATCTTTGCTGTTTGTATGGTACAGACTGCTTGCGCTTGGCTCATGCTCAAGATGAGAGGGATCTTAAGCCACAATCTCCCGGTGAGTGCCACTGCTTTTCTTCGACGATGTTCTCCGTCAGACATTTGTTTACAGGAGTGTAACGAGTACACAGTTCTCGTACTACAGAGCTTCACCACGTGGGTGTTTAAGTCATCTGCATTTATCCGGTGTTGAATGAATTTCGACAGTTGTCCATTCATGCATCTTGATCCTTATCATGTTGATGAGCAGGCTTGGTTAAGTCGTTACTGTTCCGTCTTATTCAGTTCGAGATGGGCTTCGGTTTTCACGAACTTCCTTAAATGGATTACTCTTTCTGTGAGTCAGTAAATGAGTGTGTTTATACATGTCTACTTCAGTGATTACTTAGAGCAAGGGATTGACGAATTCTTCTATTCCGCCGCACTACATCCTCCATTCCGACACGGAATTTTCTTTCTTGAAGCATCAATGTGTCTTTGCTCTTACTGCAAACGACAGCGTTTTCTCTGTCCTGTGCTGAACATTTTTTTGCAGGAGCATGGGATTATTTAGTCAACTTTAGGGATTTTTTTGGATATCCTCTCTTGATTTCACAAGTGAAGAAAAACGTATTTATTGCTGAATCAATAACGTAAAAAATTCCTCCGGGGGGATATGGGGGTGGAATTCAATTTACCATGTAGAAACCGAAAAGGATAGGTTAACGTAAAGTCGCATGAACTGTACATGAAAAAATTTCATTGGATAAAAGAAAAGCTGGCCCAAGTTGAAGAAATGTTTTTTCTACTTTTCTGGGTGTTCCCTCTTTTCTTTAGCGTCATTCTCCTCACCACATTATCAGATTGTTCTTCCATCGTCCCTGTCACTATTCCAACCAAACGACGTCACTACTTTTTGCAAAATTCCAGGTCATGCTAACTGGATACATCAAGCTTCCAGTGTAATGAAATAGCATGCCTTATCACCGACGAAAACTTGACGTCTGTGGCTAAATGCAAAATATAAGGAATTTTTACGTGAAGTTTTGCTAATCAACGAAACGCGTGTACACTGGTTCACAACTACGTCACCTTTGAAATAGAACAAAATAGGATGTGTTATCGGTTGATTGTGAGTCGGATGAATGTGAATGACGTGGCCCATTGTGAGCTGCTTTAGCTCCTGCAGATTCAGTGCACCAAAAAACTTTGTGCACCAGACGCTAGAACGAATGTGATTCAGAACGCTACCTTATCTATCTTTTTGTTTTGTGGTCTTCTTTACAAGCTTCCAGACAAAGTTGTCACAGTCGCTCTGGAGGACCAACGCCTGAAACACTCGTACTATCTAAGGAAGTCGATAACGCTTCCAATCGGTGTATGAACAAGATATCTGTGGTCCATCAGCTAGGAAACTTGTCAATAATTTAGCGCAGATACATAAAAAGTTATGCTTCAGTCATTCCCATTCATTCGCACAACACTTTAAGGGGAAGATACATATACATACATACGTAAGGCCTTGAAATCACTGTTGTTGGTATCAATCCATGTATGAAAACATAACACCACATGTTATCTAAGTTCAGAAGTGATGGAATGAAATGGCGACCCTGCGATATGTGTGTTCGATGTAAGATGCAAAGCACTTACTGATGAATTGGCACCATTCACAGCAGGCTGTGTCGATATCATATCAGGAAGCCGATAATCAATCAACACTTCGACAGCAATCCGGACATCATTCTGACGAGAAATTTGTGAGGAAATTAAAAAATCAAACTCTTCATCCTCGACGTGCTCATTCATCCAAACTAGCATTGTGTGTGTACAGTAGTCTTTCAAGTCGATAAGGCTTCAGAAGAGATCCACCAGTCGCGGAAGCATACCAGCGGAGAGAAATCATTGACGACCGCTCGCTTCTTTTTTTCCTGCCATCGTGAATGGCATGTTGAACCGACTGGTCAATCAGCAATCTGCCATCCGAGGACACAACAATCGCCGGGCAGAGACATGATGGATGGCAAAAATTCGCCACATGAAAAAAGGTGCTGGTACATGGACTTTTTACCTAGAAGACCAATCGCAAAGGCGGTTTTCGCGACCGGATGCATTGATGGCATGCAGCAGCACTTCCTTGTAATTTACTTAGAGATCGATTTGAGCTCTCAGTTACTGGTCCTGAGCTTTCCGGGATAATAGCCCGTCAATTTCAACCCTCGTCCCGGCCGTCGATCCGGTTTTCGGAGGGCTCCGATTCCGATATCCCGTCATCGACCGACATCTGGCAACAAGGGTTGTAGGATGAAACGAGACCGAATGAATTTCTCCAAACAGTCTGCGGCTTTTCGAAGTCTGCTGGTTGAATATAATCTCTTCCAGCCCCCAGCACATTGAGCAGCATTCCACTTCAATCGCCTCATCGCAGATAACACAGCTGTGGTTTTCTACGTCTCACCACATCCGGCAAGTCTTGCAAGCCCAGCTTCTACCGAATCGAAGCAATGGCGGCCTCCACTGTGGCGATGTCCCAGCACGCCTGCGTCGCTCTCAACGGTGGGCTCTGTGGGTCTAACGTTCTATCCACCAGGACCGAATCCGGAGTCAGCTTCGCGCGCACTCCTCTCGTCAAGACTGGTTTGGCAGTGGAGCGATCCGCCAAGCGCCTGGTGCCGATTTCAGCTCATGTTGATGGACTGGGTGCCACTCTGCCATCCGGGTTCGAGATGACGGACTACACTGTGGTCGATGAGTCCTTCAGCGGCAGCCTCGGCGGTGGGATCATGGAGAAGATTGCCAATGGCTTCAAGAGCTTCAAGGAAAACAACTTCAGGTACCTAACTGCGATTGGTACATCCGAATGTGGAGTCATCGATTGAACTTGCAGTTGAGATGGTCGAAATGTAGTCCTGATGTTTAACGATATAACCGCTGAGATTTGTTTATTCACGATAGAACGTTAAATGTGACGATTGATCGTCGATATGGTGCTACAGGTCAAACCCGGAGATCTTTGAGCCACTGAAGAAGGGGCAAGCACCAGAGGTAATTACAGTTTAACGGACTTATCGTGATACAATGAACTCTGAGTCAGGATCATTAGGGGTCTTAGCGTCATATGTTTCACGATCTCGCAATGTGACAACCTGGCGCAATCCCAACAGTTATTCAAAACCACAATGTCTACGCCGCAAATGCGTTGAACAACCGGTGGCAGCCGGATGACTGCAGCTGTTGAAACAGAGGGAATCGTTAGATGAGTCCTCGGGTGGCAGAAACTCTGTAGTGCATCTAGAGTGAGAATGTGGGCAAACGACATAATCCTGGATCAAAGAATTGTGGTGGGTGCTAGCATATGAGGCACTTCTGCTCCTTGAGCAGCCCGAGTAGTGTCAGGCGATTGCTTCAGGATGTCGGTACATCCGATGTGATTCCACTCCTAATAGGCAATAGTCTCACCTTATTTTTGGCTCCAGAACTAACTTCTAGTTCGACTGGTTGAGCAGGTGATGATCATTGCCTGCGCTGACTCGCGGGTGTGCCCGACTATGCTTCACGGGCTCGATGCCGGTGAGGCTTTCATCGTACGAAGTGTGGCCAACCTTGTTCCTGCTTACGACCCATCGGTAATGAGCCTACCAGTTCTACCCTTAACTTTGAAATATCTAGCAATATAGGTGTCTCCTTCTCCCACTATTTGCCCGCGTTCACCTTTGATATTGAATCACGATTGAATGGCTCACTGATAGTAATCGGGGCTGTATTGCAGATGGAAAACGGACCCCACGGAACAAGCGCAGCCATCTTGTACGCTGTCACCGTGCTTGGTGTAAGTTTCCTTCAAACGAGCTTGAGACGTTTGTTCAGCTGACTTCCTAGTTCTATCCTGAGGATGGATGGAGAGTGAGGGAATATTTCTAGGAATCATCAGATGGTCTGCCAAATTTGATTGGTCTAGATCCCAAGCAGGAAATCTCTCAAATAAACTCCGTTATCAATGCGTTAAACAACCTAGTTTGAGATCAAACGTGTCACAGTGTAGTCTGAGTGGTCTGAGCGGAATATTCTCGTTGTGTACAGGACAGAGCTTAATGATGTGCCAGTAATGTGCCCATGAGTTTACGTTTCTTGTATGCAGGTGAAGAAGGTGATTGTGATGGGCCACAGCAGCTGTGGAGGAATCAAGGCCTTGATGACCATGAACGAATTTGACAAGTATGCAAGACCTCTCACCTGGACCTGTAGACGACTAGAGTTTGTTTCATTTGCTGGTAGGGTTATGTTCTGGGATGTCAGATAAATGGGAATTTACCCTTTACTAAGTTGGCTAAATTCACACTTTTTCGAATAGGGACTTCGTAGGAAGCTGGGTTAAGATTGGTCTGCCAGCGAAGGAGAGCACTCTTGAAGCAGTGGGAGACAAGCCACTCGCTGAGCAGTGCACCTTCTGTGAGAAGGTATGAAGAACTACATCTAAATTAATGAGTTTCAATCCTGTTCAATGATTCACTGAAGCAATATTGTTTCAAAGTGAGACGAGATGGAAAACATATGTATATATATATATATATATATATATATATATATGTATTAGGGTTCTGGATCCTCATTTCTGGTACGGCGATTTGTGTAAGTAATGCCTTGCCCCATCACATTTCAGGAAGCCGTGAACAACTCCCTGAAGAACTTGCTTACCTTCGACTTCGTCGAGGAAGGGGTGAGATCCGGCGAATTGGAGATCTTCGGCATGCACTACGATTTCCATGACGGAAAGCTCACCAGCTGGAAGGCTACCCCCTCCAAGGTTGCCGTCTCCGCCAGTGTAAGCTTGTAGGCCTGCTCTGCAAGAAATCACTATCTGTAGACAGTTTTCAACTTCATGCGCACTTGTGGTCTCCTGAAATGCTGACATAGTATGAAGGGTGCTACACTGATAGTCCTAGATGCCGAGTTCTCCAGCCTGTGGTCAAAGCTCTATTCGCAGCTGAAGAGGTGTGGAATGTAGAGCGTTGTACAATTCACTCAATGCAAAAAAATATTAGAAAAGAAAAACAAAATCACGGTAGCAGTATTATTAAACCCATGCGTGTTGCGTAACCTGAATGTGAGTGATATTTGGGACGGAGAGAAAACCAAGTATGTCTGGATTTTATATGCGTGTCACAGACGCTGAGTAGTGCCTGACGTTTGACATCATACCTAGTAACTCCCATCCCGATGCGATACCTCTGCATAAAAATATGTTCTTCTCTCCCCTATCAATTTTGATGTATATCAATGATTTTCTGTCGAAGAGAATTTGCCTAAACATACAGAATACAATGTTATTCTGGTCCATTGAAACTAAGGACATGAAAGCTCTAACTTGGACTGTAAATGACAGTTTTGTCCTACGAATATACCGCTCTTAAATTCAAACTCCTTTACGCTTGTTTTGTAATCGTCATATATGGTATCCACATTCTAATGGTTACTCGGCGGACCTTGTTAACTGTGAACCTTAGAGAACTTTTGTGTGCGACGTTTCTTCTGGATAGTCGTTGCATCTTTCGAGAATTCTAGTAGAATGTGTGGACAGGATTCCATTTGTGGTCCCGCCGTGCAGATCGGAAAACTTCGTCTAATCTGAACAGGATGGATATCGCCCATGCGTGTGATGAAAAACACATCCACGGTGTGGATGGTGTGCACTGGCACATAGTACGCTGATTGATTGTTGGACATGTTGTGCAGATAATAACTGTGCCTGTGATCCTGCAACTTAGCTGTTGTCTTTGTGGTCAGCTTTCTCCAGGATTAATTCCAGATTCCTGTAGGAAGTGATGGATTCTACAGTCATCGACAGATTGATCCTAGTTTTACAAGTTCAGTATCAACCAGAACAGTTTGTGAGACTTATGAAGTGCGGTGATGTTGCAGGAACTGTGGCAAGTTTCTGATTGTTTTCGTTGATACCGACACCAAAGAAAACTTAGGGAATTAAACGAAAAACAAAGATATAAAAACGAAATCGAAAAAAAAAAAAAAAAAAAAAATGTATATATATATATATATATATATCCTATGCTTTATTCAATATGGAATCTGGATATTGTATAATGAAGAAAATTGAACAGAAAAGGTTGGCTGAACAATCAACAGTCTTGTTATTTTCGTTTTGTTGTGTTATCATGTGTAATCATTTTATACAGATTTATTTTCTCTTTTATCTTTCTTAAAGGCTGACAGGAATTTTAATGAGTGACCATTGCTATCTCAGGTTTATAATAACATAATGGGTCATTCTACATACTGAAACAACTTACAAAATAAAAAATAAAAAATAAAAAAACAAACAAAAATACAATCAAACAACAATCTCTACCATAAAATTATATATATATATATATATATATATATATATTTTCTTATACTATATATTGAACAAAAGAGCAATTTGATAGATTCAAAATTACCATGTATTGATTTTTGTTGATTTTGAATGAAACAAATAAAATGGAATTTCCTTTGAGAACAACTATGTTGGATATTTTGAAGGCAACCTTAGTTTTGGTTAGATTATTCTTATTATGTCAGCTATGAGTTACTATATTAGTTAAGAATAGAAATAGATATAGCTTCTATTAGTACTAGACAATACAAGAAGCATGTTATTATAAGTTAAGAGTATGTAAAAATTACTACATATACAAAAGATATATATATATATATATATATATATATCATAAGTAAAATGAAAGGAATAGTGAGCTCTTAGAAATTTTCAACATGGTATCAAAGTAGGAGAAGGAGAGAGTTCGTTGTTGAGTAGATAAAATATTACTTATTGAGTACAATATGTTTTTAAGAAACATGCATAAGTAAATTTACTATTTTAGAAATAATTATATAAGTTTAATTTAAAAATAGAAGCTAATAAAAGCATCACAATCAATGATAAATTGTATTAGGACTTTTGAAAGAAAGATTTGAGAAATGATCAAGAGTGAGCAAAGCAGACATCTTTTGTATGAGAGGTCAACAAAATTATTAGAGACAAAAAATTATCATGTCTAGCAATCAAGAATGAAATCTATACTTCTTAGAAAAAGTTTGAGGTCTATTGTAGAAGTTAAGAGAGAACCTACAAGCTTCCTTACACTAATCAAAGGCAAGGACTATACAATTATAGCACTTTAATAAGAAAAAAATAGAGCCTACTTGGAAATACTAATGTTTATTAGTGATAAATCTATAGATATTATAATAGAGAAATCAGATCTTGCTGATGCATGGAATTCTCTTCAAGAGATTTATCAAAGTGGAGATCAATCACAAATCATATTGTTGAACTCATAGTTCTTTGCATTGTAATTATAAGAAGAAATAGATATTAAAGAATATGTTAAATTAGCAAAGGAATTCAAGATCATGCTAGTCATGTTAATGGAATTCTTTCTCAAAAAATATATTTGTAAACTTATTTTTAAATGGATTACCAAGAAGTTACAATATGATGATTTAATTGATTAACAATTTGATTTCTTTGCCAAATTTTGATAAATATATCATAAGAATGTTGAATGAGGCAAAACAACTTAATATACAAGTACAACCTCTAGATGAGATTGAATAACTAAATTATATTATAGATTCAAGTTCTATACAAGGATGAGGCTACAAAAGAATTAATCAGCAAGGACGTGGTGGCAAAAGAAGAAGGAGAGGACAATCTTCTTTAAGTAAAAGAGTACTTTAATATCATGTATGTGAAAAATCTAGGCATATTGTATGTAATTGCTATCATTGAAAAGGACCAATTACAACCAAAAATATTTTTTATATAATAATTGAGTCTTAAATCAAGAAAAAACAAAATTTAAAAATAGAAATTGAGACAAATAACAAAATAGAAATATTGAAGAAAGACGAAGGAAGAGAATCTTATCTATAGTATTTACAAACTATTGCATAGCAAATGGAATTAGAAGGCAATTAACACAAGTAAGAACTCATTCTTAAAACACCATGGTAGAAAGAAGAAACATAGAAATTATTGAAAAAGTAAGAAACTTGTAGTATGAAGAAAATTATCTATATATCTAGAATTAAAAATTATAAATACAACAAACTATCTAATAAACAAAAAACTTAGCAGAGCTAATAAAGATCAAATAATAAAAGAAAGATGGACAAAGAAAAATCCATTAGTTTGTCATTAGAGAATTATTAAATTTTTGGTCTATTTACATGTATCTAAAGAAGATAGGTCCAATTTTTAATCAAAAATTCTAAAATGTGTTATGTTAGAATACAGCAATAGAAAGAAAGTTTATATACTTCATTATTTAATAAAAAAGAAGATTTTTTTTAGCAAAGTTGTAGTATTTTTTGAATCTAGAGTTGAGTGTAAATTTTCAAAAACAAAAGATAAAGTAATTATTGAGAATACATAATTATTTCTAAAATCAACATACTTGAGTGATGAAAATAATCAGTTCCAAAGGGAGATAAATGAAAAAATTAACCAAGTTTTTATGCAAAAAGAACATATTTATTTTCCATAAGAAGAACCAATCAAAGAGTCATTAGAAGAAAATACATCTTTGATAATAGGAGCTAATATTTCAGACACAACACTTCTAAAGAAGCAAAAATTCAAATATAATTTGAATGACATATAGTTATAAAGATTAAAGAAGCTTAAGAAATCAAATACTATACTACAAAATAAGGTTTGGAAAATTGAAATCAATGAAGTTGGGGGTGCCAAGAAACTTTAATGAGGTAATTAATACAAAAAAATGAATTGATATAGTTCAAAAAGAAATTGATCTCATAATAAAAATAATACATAGAACTTGATAGATTAGCCAAAAAGAATTAAATAACTTGATTTGAAATAGGTATGTAGAGTAAAAATATTTAAAAATATAAGAGTAGATTAGTTGCAAGAAGAGACTTTCAAGTTTTTAAAATTGACTACATTGAAATATTTGTTCTTATAGTAAAGTAGGTAAAAATACGATATGCTGTAGTATTGGTTCCTAGAAAGAAGTTAAGAATTAAACATTTGGATGTAAAAAAAACTTTATTGAGTAGCATTCTTGAAGAAGAAGTGTTTATAAAAGTATCAAATGGTTGGAAGAATACCAATGCAGAAGAAAAGTATGCCTGGTGAAAAAAGCTTTGTATGGATTTGAACAAGCTCTTAAAGCTTAATATTCAAAGAATAGATGTTGATTCAAAAGAAAAAAATATTAATAAGAGTAATAAAGATTATAATTTATATTATTATATTTATGTTAGAAAATATACATCATTACTTTTATATGTGAATAATTTGTTGTTAACAAAGAATGATTATGCCAATATTCAGAGAATTCAAAAGCATTAGAAAAATAAATATGAAATGATTGATTTAAAAGGCATACAAATGTATCTAAGAGCTCAATTTGAAACTACTAAGTAAGAAATTTGGATGCATGAGATACAATATATTAAAAAGTTATTTCAAAAAATTGGAATAAAAAACTAAAATCATATATTTGTATTGATGAATATATAAACCAAACTCAAGAAAGACATTGAAACAAGAGCATTCTATCTTGAGAGTCTAAGACTTTTTTAATCCACAAATGCATAAAACCTCATCACAAAGTAGGAAAAAATAGATTAGAATAAAATTGAATAGAACTAAATAGAATAGGATACAAAAGTCAAAACTATTCAAACAAAAATAGAACTAATAAAATTGAACTAGAAGATGCATAATCAAACTTTATTAAAAAAGAAGATATGAAGCCATACCTAACAAGATGTCCAAAAGGCCTTGGCTAGTCTTATTTATACATATTCTACCACCATGGACTTTCTAAAATATTCCTTGATGGTAGACCTCACTTAGATAGCTATCCTAAATTCTTTTTAGAATGTTCTATGATGGATCTTACTTAGATAACTATCTTAAGATTTTTTTAGAAGATTCTATCATAGACCTCTCTAGATAACTTCCTTACATTTTTTTTAGAATATTCTATGATGGATCCTACATCGACTATTAATTTAGCTCTAATTTTGAAACCTTCCATAACTTCTCAAATATGGTTCCAACTATCTATCCTTATGTGTCAACAATACAAATATCTTATCTATACTTTGTTACAATTAAACTCCCTCTACAAATACAAAATATCCTTATTTTACTTTTGATGGTATTTCCAAATTGTCTCTTGTCAATAGGTGAGGTTTTGTGCAGGTGCTCATATTGCATTGTCGATGGA